AATGCACACTCCGTGTGTGTGTGTGTGTGTGTGTGTGTGTGTGTGTGTGTGTGTAGATCTGCTGGGTTTGACTCCGGCTCCTAATAACGGGACTCACGGCAGTCTAAACAGTGTCTTGAGGAGCCCCCCCTACACCCCCACACAGCCAGAGGAAGTGACATCACCCACGCCTTTAGCCCCGCCCTCTGAGGTGACCCATGACCTGGGCTGTAACTGTGACGATGAGGTCAGCAACACTCACACACACACATGCGTGTTCTCTACAGGTCAGTGGATTGAGTCTCTTCTCATTCACAGAACAACATTGAAGAAAGTTCCCAGAGATTTCCTTCCGCTGCCGACGGACTGTTGAACAGTTAAGATCCGTTTCACTTTCACATTCATGTTCACATCCTTCAGTATCAGGTCAGGTGTGTGTGTGTGTGTGTGTGTGTGTGTGTGTGTGTGTGTGTGTGTGTGCAATATAATATAACCAAAAATATATATGTATTGGTGTTCAGTGTTGGGGGTAACGTATTAATCAGATTACTGTTCCCAAGTAACTAGTAAAGTAATGCATTACTTTTTAATATCTGAATATCTGAGTTACTTTTTGAAATAAGTACCAGCAGTTACTTTGTTTCCATGTGTTGAGTGACAGCTCTGGTGTTGCCGTGGTGACAGAAATCAGGAGTAAGTGTTGCGTTGTGTGAGAACATGATCTTACTGTAGCTCTAGACTAAATATCAACATGTGTTTACTCAAAAACACATTCAGCGTTCCTCAAAATCTATACAAACAGTCAAATACAAACTCGGAATATTATACAAACCTGCGATTAATTAAATATGTTAAATAAGACAAATATCATTTATATAGTTAATCCCATTTTTTTAACCAGTGTCTGCTACTGACCTTCAGTGAGCTACTTCATCCATACTAATAAGCAAAAATTGACATTTGTGTATAATTTGTGTTATTGCTGAATGGTGTTGAACTTTCTTCTCCTGCGTCATATTCTTCATGTGATTAGTTTGAGCGGCGCCCTCTACTGTACAGACGTGATTTTACATTTCCTTCAGCTTGAGCCGTATTCATTTCACTTTTGGTGTGAAAGGGCTTTTACGTTTGTAAAAGAAGAGCTTTTAATATTAAAAACAAACAAGCAAGCCCCGCCCAGATTTGCAAAGTAACTCAAAAGTAACGTAACGCATTACTTTCTATAAAAAGGAACTAAGTAACATAATTAGTTACTTTTTTAGGGAGTAACGCAACATTGTAATGCATTACTTTTAAAAGTAACTTTCCCCAGCACTGTTGGGGTTATTATAGTTCACTAAAACTATAACAAAAAAAATGTTTTTGTTCCTTGAAAGAAAATATGTTAACAGAAATAAAATAAAAAAGCTTAAAATTTATTTCAGATAGTTGCCTTTGTTTAGTTTATCTTGTACTAAATAAAATGAAACTAATAAATGAAAGTTGATAAAACTATATGGACATTACAAAAACGAATAAAAAGGACCAAAAACAAAACGAAATTATCAAAACGTTTAAGTACCAGATATGTATCTTTGTATGTATCTATCTAAAATAAAAGTAATATAAACAATAGACATGTTTTAAACAGACAAAAACTAATAGAAAGGACAAAAACACAACAAAAAATACTAAAACGAATATAGAGAGAAGAGGGGGAGAGTAAGGCTTTTAAACTCACAACAAATGCAAAGAATAGATAGAAGTAATTATAGTAGCAATGCATTTAAAATCTAAATAATTTAAGTTCTTTGTATTGTTATTTAAGGACTGTGGATCTGAACATGCTCTCCGTCTCTAGTTACCAGTGATCAGGAAAAACACAACAGTGTATATCAGAAAACATACGATCTGAGCCATTAAATCTCATATTTCTGCGGATCTTGTTTTGGTACGGGCTTTCTGTCACTTTCCCACTTTGATCACAGATTCTCTGCAGTTTGAGATTTCTTTCTTTTGACAGTCTGTGGTTCCCTACAGGACACCAATAAGTGCCTTTTACAACTATACATGTTAAAAGCAGCTAGTTAGATGACTAGTTTAAATTCTGTGCAACTCTATTTCTGTTTATGGACATGTTGTATCCTTTCCCAGAAAATCTAACTTAACAGCTTAAATTATAAATCATTATTATAAGAATACTGCAGTCAATCAGGGTAAAAGGAGACCGTTTCCCACACTCATTTTTCAGTGCAGTTGTTCAGTAATTAATATTTTTTTAATATATATTCTTTATTTATTAAACATTTTAGATGTATAACTATTTACAGCAAAGCCTGAGATCTAGCCATGTACATAAAATACAAAAAAAGACTGACAATACAATATTACAAAACAATCTTAGCCGTATAATAAGTACATCTCAGGATTTCAAGAGGTTTGATAAAGTCTCAATATCAAGTCTCAGTCTCAATATTAATTCATTTTTACAGATTATTTTAGATTTGTGCATTTAGAAGATAGTTTTATCTCAAATTGATTT